AATCATATAAAGTATATACTACACTAACAAAAGTCACAAGCATGGGAAATTACTGCTCTATCATGATTCATCTCAGCTATTCTACAAAATCAAGATGTCGCTACGCTATAAAAAGAGGTTGCTATATTTGCATTGAACTGGATAATTCATGATCTATTTCAAGATGGCGTTAATCTTAAGAAAGAAGGATAAGATCACTAATAAGAGTTAAGATAATTTACTATTCCTATACCTATTCCTATAAGTTTAACAAGGGTTAAAGTCTACTTAATGGCGGTCATGAGATAGGATAAGGATACCTACAAGGTTAGTGGTGGAATGATAAATACTCTTTCGTTCTATCAGGTTCGAGTACTTTTCAGTATGTCGTCGCCTTTATTATGGAGCGCTTTACCCCATGTAAAATTTCTCGGCACAAATTCGGATTTAATTGAGTCCCAATATAATTATCGTACACTGGGTAAGAAATAAAAAAAATAAAAAAAAAAAGATAGGATAAGGCTGAAATGTGAAAGAGAGAGATATAGGAGATTCTAGCTCCTATGCTGGCAGCTGCTTTCAGTTGATTATGCCCCTTGTTTTAAGGAAAGCTGATTAATTATATATTATTAATTAAATTAAAGAAAATTCAAGAGGATGCGCATGGTATGCTGCGGATTCCCTGTCATATGCTTTTGATGAGTTATTAATTATGCATTTTGTTTCATTTTGCTTAAGCTAATTGGTGTCATGTTTATCCCGACAAGTCAAGCTCATGTTTCCCATCTTCCAACTTGGAGTATTTATTATATAAAATTGAATTCAAATAATTTATGTGCACAGCTAATGTATTAATATTTTACACAATTAGGTTAAATTGAGTTACAACAACATATAATTTTGAATAATGAAATATAGTAATCTGAGAAATAATGTAATAATATGCTAATTGATTGCGCAATACTATGCTTAATTAGTAGTATTACATCAATGTCGTCATTAAGGTATCTTTATCATGTGGGATGTACATAATCTTAACTGTCCACATTTCTGTTTCCATCCTTTCTATTCAAAAGATAAAGTTTTTGGTCTAATTTAGTGGTATATAGTACTAACCACACCTTATTCAGATGTTAATAAGCTTTGGAGTTTGGTTCCATTCAATTTTGTCTGTACAATCATTTGCTGCAAATGCCCTTGTTATTGATACAGCTACTATATGCAACCAAAACACACATAATCATAGATCCAGAGTCCATTTAGTTTTTTTCAAGAACAACTTGTATTGGTATTGCTAAGCCATCTTTTAAGAAAATAGGAGTTTTAAACATTTACCATCCTTTGTAAAATCATTCACAACGTACTTTACTTATCAAACAAATTAACTAAGAGTAGTAGCTTTTTTTAGTCGTGGTAAATTCAGTTTTATATAGAGATGAACTTTGTAATTATGATTTTCAGAGGAAGGGGTAGGCATCATGTCTGTGACAAACATATATATGTTAATTAGTTTGCTACCCCTGGCTCATCTTTATGTCCCTTTCGCATATCCTAATTACATAAATATTAGGATTTTTTCACTTTTAGCCCGCGCCTGAACTTATTTATATTTGATACCGAAAAGTATATAAAATTTGTATAATTTATATATATATATAACATAAAGTATGTATATATAGAAAAAATATACAAAAAATATATATTTTTCGGCTATTACTTTGAGGGCGCTATACAATGTCATTTTCCTTAAATATTAGCTAGAAAATGACCTAGACAAGCTAATTCTGTTCTTATATGCCATTTATTTAACTTTAAAAGCGGATAGCATGGATAGGGATCTATGTGATTGTGCATCTTTCGATCGTGATGGATGATAAATGTCACACATTTAGTGAAGCTGGTATCTCCTAGTGATAATCAACTTATTGCTAACTATGGATATAAAGCAGTAAGACAACCGAGTTAAAAAGTTAAGATATCAGCAATTTTTGAAAACCTTTTACCATTTAAAGTAGATTTTTTTTCTTATGTCGTAAAAGAAATTCAATAATTAGATATAACAAAAAATTATTTTTGCCCTATTTGCATAGTGATGAGGTCCATCTCATTGAAGAAGTATTAGGCATGTGCCTAATAAAAGTTTTCTTTGGTTTGGTAGCCAACCTTGTTGACTTGGTTTGGTTGGTAGCCAACCTTGTTGAATTAGTTTGGTTTGGTAGCCAACTTTGTTGAATTTCTTTGGTTTGGTAGCCAACTTTGTTGAATTGTGAAAAGTGTGTGTAAATTGTCAAATATGGTAGGCTTTAGAGAGTGAAGCTTTGGCTATAAAAGAAGAGCTTCAACTCTCATTTCTACACACCAACAAAGAGAGAAAGAAAGAGTGAG